TTTTTTATATGGCAGACTTATTTATAAAATGCTCTTAAACATTTTCATATGTCCAGTGACTATATTTAATGGTTTTGTAGATTTATTTTGTTAAGTTACTAATATACTACTAACTTTAACAGTCAATTGAAATAAGATACTGTATTCATTAGATGAAGAAAAATTATTATTAAAAAATGGTAAAATCAATTTAATATTGAAACCATAGTAACGTTTTACAGATTTTTTTTACACATTCTTTTATTCTATTAATAGCTAGCCCAGATTGAGCATGAGCCGGTCTCCGGCAACACGGAGGATGAGGTTAGACAGTCGTCCGCTAAGAGCCGGGCATCACTTCGTAGCCAGTTTAAATCTCGCCTGGATGAGACGCGACAGGCCGTCGAGGATAGACGTACAAAATCTCCGGTTATTTCGTTACCACCTCATAAATCTATAGATGATGAATTAATCATAGAAGATGATGATGATCTGCCTATACCTGATGATTTAAAAGGTGAGGGAAAAGCTTAATACATTTTCATCAATAAGAGGTATTTTAAAGCAAGCGGCTTAATTGTCACCTTTCAATGCCAGATGAAATTTCTAGCATGTGTAAAACCATATGGAAACACCTGTCTCAAATGCAAGAAGTAGTACATCAATTACCAATGAAATTTCTTGCATTGGTAAAAACCTTTATGACCTTAATGAAACATCAGTTTAAAATGCAAGAAGAAGCACATCAATTGCCAGATGAAGTTTTATGGCATTGGTAAAACCCTTATGGAAACACCAGTCTGAAATGCAAGGAGAAGTACATTAATTGCTTGATGAAATTTCCAGCATTGGTAAAATCTTTTGGAAACACCAGTCTAAAATGCAAGGAGTACATCAAATTTGTTAATTTCAAGTTTCTTTATATCTAATATTTATAATTTATTCATGTATTCATTACAGATGAGGTGTTTATGAGGGAAGACACACTAGATGCTGGTACATCTCCACCCCTTTCTTTATATCTAATATTAATATAATTTATTCATGTATTCATTACAGAGGAGGTATTTATGAGGGAAGACACTCTAGATGCTGGTACATCTCCTCCCCCTAGTAAACAAGAAGTCAACAGGAAAATCAGTGTAGCATCTAGGTAGCATATTTTCTACATTAATGCCTATAATACGACATTGTTGCAGTATTGCATTGCATTACCCCTTTGTCTATCAAAGAACATTGAGCTTTGCATTTCCTCTTTATATGTTTATGCCAAGAACTTTTAATATTTCATTACCACTGTGTGTGACTATTATGCCTAGAACATCAATTGTGCATGACCACTTCATGTGTTTATGCCCAGAATATCAATCATTCATGACCATTTAATGTGTTTATGCCAAGAACTTTGAGCATTTCACTACCTTTCCATTTCACTACCTTTCCATTTGTATATGCCAAGAACATCAAACATGCATGACCACTTTGTGTGTTTATGCCAATAACTTTGAGCATTACCTCTTCATGTGTTTATGGCCAAAATGTCAATAATGCCACTTTTTGTATTTACCAAGCATGCCAAGAACTTTGAGCATTAAATAAGTTCTTTGGTTGTCTATGCCAAAGACATTGAGCATGACATTACCTCATTGTGTGTCTATGTAAAAAGCATATTCCATTTACTTTTTCAACAGTTTTGAACATTATATTATAAATATATATATATATTATTATAACATTTTTATGGAAATACTGCTTCAATTATTGAAGCTTCAATAAATTGATATTAAACATGAGTTTGATGATGTATTTTCTTGCATTTTAGGAAATCAACCAATTTATCAGAACATCCACTAGTTAGTGAATATTTAAGGGCATATACAGGAATCCATAATTTTAAGGAGGCAATGAGCAGAGTGCTGGTTGATAAAGGTAAGTTTAATTCTTATTGTGACAATTTTGGTGTGTTAATATACAATTTTGAGAACTAGGGGACTGACACGACTGTTATTTGATCAGGCTCTATACTGTTGACAACTTAATTTTAAACACTACTGACTAGTTATCTAGCAATTGCTGGTCACATGGGTTTGGACCCCATCAGGGCAATTTATTGTTTTCTTAAGCAAAAAATTTTACATTCATTGCATGCTTAGTACTGATGGCTTACAGAAACGAATTCTAGAGTGTTTCAATAAGTTTATACCTTCCAACATAATGGAACTGAAATAATTTTGTATAAATTATAAGATAACTTTATTTTACTATTTTGATGCCAAATTCTTAAAACATCCTGAATATTCATGTAATCTATGACAGTTGGTTGCTCACCCTTCAAATTATAAATGGACCATTCCATATTTGAAGCAGATCAAGTCTATTATACAAATTTAGGGTGATAAGATTAGGTTTCCATGGATAATTTTACAGATGAACCAGGAATGAATATATTTTACGCCTCTGTTTTCAGATCAAATGTCAGCCAGCCAGATTCTGACAGATTTAGATATTTTACAGTTCAATAAGGACGATAAAGTTGTGCCGCAAATCTCCAACATGACAGAAAATATCTATTATGGTATGTATATACATTGTACCGGTTTATAACAGTGTATATATATAGATAAACATGATTATATAACTGAAAGTTTGTAACGTTCATTTTCATTGGACAGTTGTGATGATTATAATTATTATTTATATACAAGGCTGCTGTTTAGTGATGAAATAGTAATCATTTTAATCGGTTCAGTATTAATTAGTAATAACGAGATTTGATAAGTTATGCTGCTTAATTTATTTGCGTTATCTCTTGAAACAGACAGACTGGGAGGGCGTCCGTGGCAAAGTGGTTAACGTTGTTGACTTCTAACCACTTGCCTTTTACAACTGTGGGTTAAAGTGTGCTGTGCAGTTGTTGTATGGGGCCTGGATGAAAATATATGATGGTCCTTCTTCAATGTATGAATGGCTGATGTTTTTTTTTTTTTCAGTATTAAATGAGGTATCTCAAGTAATCAACAGCGTGCTACAAAATGACAGGGTACGTATATATTTAGAACATGCCTACACAGTCACATTGAAAAGCTTTAAGGCTCTTTATATAACAAAGAAACCTTTACAATAAATACCATTTCTTATCTTAAGGGACAGCGTGTCCTAAAATGTTGTAAAATGTTGTCCTATAATAATACATTGTAATTTCATGTTATCTTTTTTCATAGTATAGAAGGTCTACTCACTTCACAACTTTTGTATACTACCATCCATTGTCAGTGCTCTAAAAAAATTACTTATTTCGTCCTTAAATGGACTGCACCAATGTTTTTGCATGATGGGACTTGAAATGAATTTTAAATTTTAATGTTTCATTTGATGTAGGTCTAGATCAATAACTTTTTTATTATGGTAACTGTTTTATACTACTCAGGGTCCTGTTGTTTCCTCATTAATGATGGGAATGTCAAGGGATGCAACTCAACGAACTATAATGCGGGAGAAATCAGGTGTAACGGCTGACGCGTTAGAAACACGAGGCAGTCAGAGGACGGTCTCGACGAAGGCCGGCAGTGTATCGACCGACGCGGCTCAGTATCAAGATCTCCAGGCTCAGTATGAAAAATTGTAAGTATTTTTTTACGGCAAGTTTTTTATTATTTTTTTTTTACTTCGGAAAGATTTTAATCTATTTTAAACTAGTAGGGTTGGCGGTTGTCAGATCACATGGTAATTATAGATTTAACCATACTTACTGTTATTATAAGTATGTGCTTAGGTTTGATTTATCAATTTAGTTATTCTACAGTTTTTGGAGTATTTTTTCCCCAAAAAATCTGTATACAATGCACCGATCAACATCATATAGCTATTTGTTTGACAAGTATGGAAAATAACAGATAAAACCTGGTGTAATAGAGGCAGTATTGTAGAATCATGTTTATCGTAACTTTTCGTAAGATTTATTTTTATGATTATCAAATTCTGACACTAGAGTGAAACTTCATGTAGATATTAAGTTTAAGTCGTAAATGATTCAATTTTTTCATTTTTATGTGGATATAAGTTTCTTCTATCAATCAAAATATTCTTTATTCTTGTCCCAATAGAGATTATATAATTCATACATTATTCGCAGGGGCGTAGCTTTCTACTGAAACCAAGCTACACCCCTGATTGTGTTTTACAATAGATATAAAGTTTAAACAATTTATTACAAAATGCTTTCAGGTTACAAAAGTAAGTTTAGGACTTGTTTGATTAACCTGTTAATTGACTAGAGAAATGAATGATCCCCTAAACGACTAAACTACTAATCTATAACCTTGTAGTTATAATGCCCATGTAGTCATGCCTAAGTAGCAATGCCCATGACATCTTAACCTTGATTAATCTTCAATTTACTCCATAGTTTCTTTAACAATGCTCTTAAAAATCTTCAGTGCTATGTTTTTGGTCCTTTTGATACTCCATAGCTTCAACACTCAGTGCTCTTTTAGTGACCCTTTTCATATTCCATAGTTTTACTTTCAATTATGCTCTTTAAGTGATCCTTTTTAGCTCGACTATTCGAAGAATATGAGAGCTATTGTAGTCGCGTCGGCGTCAGCATCCGCGTCGGCGTCTGCGTTGGTTAAAGTTTTTTGTAAAGTCAAATATCTCAATCATTACTTGAGATATTCAATTGAAACTTACAATATTCATTTATAGTAACAAGGTACATCAGATTGAAAAGTTGGATAACTCTGCCTACAATATTGACAGAAGAATGCCCCTTTTTAAACTTAGAAATTTTGGTTAAAGTTTTTTGTTAAGTCAAATATTTCAATTATTGCTTGAGATATTCAATTGAAACTTACAATACTTATTTATAGTAACAAAGTACATCAGATTGACAAGTTAGATAACTCTGCCTACAATATTGACAGAATTATGCCCCTTTGGAACTTAGAAATTTTGGTTAAAGTTTTTTTGTAAAGTCAAATATCTCAATTCTTGCTTGAGATATTCAATTGAAATTTAAAATACTTTTTTATAGTAACAATGTACATCAGTTTGCAAAATTGTATAACTCTGCCTGCAATATTTGCAGAATTATTTGCCCCTTTGAAACTTAGAAATTTTGGTTAAAGGTCTTCAAAGATATTTACTTGAAACTTTACACATGCACTTAAGGTCATAATTGGAGGGTAATAATTGTATGTCACTGACCAAGTTCCATAACTCTATCTTGCATTAAGGCTGATTCATATCCCCTTTTCTACTTAGTCTCTTGGTTAATGTTTACATGCAAGTTTTACATATCTCAATAACTGTTAAAGATATTTATTTAAAACTTCACGTATGCATTTAGGGTCATTGTAGGTCACTGACAAAGATCCATAATTCTATCTTGCATTTAGGCTGATTTTTCTCCCCTTTTTCAACTTAGAAATTCATGGTAAAGTTTTGCTTGTAAGCTGTTATCTCAATTACTACTGAAGGGTTTGTGCCTTTTTATATGCCCGAAAGAATTTCGGACATATTATGTTATACCCCCTGGCGTCCGTCCGTCCGTCCGTCCGTCTGTTAGCAATTTGGTTTCCGGAGCATATATTAAGTTCCATTTGGCCCACAATATTCAAACTTCATAGGATGATTGTCCATATTGGGTAGAAGACCCCTATTGATTTTGGGGTCATAAGGTCAAAGGTCAAGGTCACTATGACCTTAAAACTGAAAAGGTTAGCAATTTGGTTTCCGGAGCATAACTTAAGTTCCATTTGGCCCACAATATTCAAACTTCATAGGATGATTGTCCATATTGGGTAGAAGACCCCTATTGATTTTGGGGTCATAAGGTCAAAGGTCAAGGTCACTATGACCTTAAAACTGAAAACAGTTTCCGGAGCATAACTTAAGTTCCATTTGGCCTACAGTGTTCAAACTTCATAGGATGATTGTCCATATTGGGTAAAAGCCCTATTGATTTTGGGGTCACAAGGTCAAAGGTCAAGGTCACTATGACCTTAAAACTGAAAACAGTTTCCGGAGCATAACTTAAGTTCCATTTGGCCCACAGTGTTCAAACTTCAAAGGATGATTGTCCATATTGGGTAGAAGATCCCTATTGATTTTGGGGTCAAAGGTCAAGGTCACTATGACATTAAAACTGAAAACAGTTTCCGGAGCATAACTTAAGTTCCATTTGTCCTACAGTGTTCAAACTTCATAGGATGATTGTCCATATTTGGTAGAAGACCCCTATAGATTTTGGGGTCACAGGTCAAAGGTCAAGGTCACTATGACCTTAAAACTGAAAACAGTTTCCGGAGCATAACTTAAGTTCCATTTGGCCCACAGTGTTCAAACTTCATAGGATGATTGTCCATTTTGGGTAGAAGACCCCTATTGATTTTGGGGTCATAAGGTCAAGGTCACTATGACCTTAAAACTGAAAACAGTTTCCGGAGCATAACTTAAGTTCCATTTGGCCTACAGTGTTCAAACTTCAAAGGATGATTGTCCATATTGGGTAAAAGACCCCTATTGATTTTGGGGTCACAAGGTCAAAGGTCAAGGTCACTATGACCTTAAAACTGAAAACAGTTTCCGGAGCATAACTTATGTTCCATTTGGCCCACAGTGTTCTAACTTCATAGGATGATTGTCCATATTGGGTAGAAGACCCCTATTGATTTTGGGGTCACAAGGTCAAAGGTCAAGGTCACTATTACTTAGAAATTGAAAACAGTTTCTTGAGCATGACTTTAGTTCCATTTAGCCCACAATATTCAAACTTTATAGGATGATTGTCCATATTGGGTAGAAGACCCCTATTGATTTTGGGGTCACAAGGTCAAGGTCACTATTACCTTAAAACTGAAAACAGTTTTCGGAATATAACTTAAGTATCATTTGGCCTACTGTGTTTAAACTTCATAGTATGATTGTCCATATTGGGTAAAAGACCCCTAATGATTTTGGGGTCACAAGGTCAAAGGTCAAGGTCACTTTTACCAGTTTCTTGGGCATAACTTAAAGTTCCATTTGGACCACAATATTGAAACTTCAAAGGAGGATTGTTATTTGAAGGAGGTAATACTTTATTTTAGTCCCATGTCTTACAAATGCTTCATCTTTACTAAAAAAAAAACAACACTTTCGGGCATATAATGCTCCGCCTAGCGGTGCTCTTGTTTGGGACAATTTTATGCATTCATAATAATAAAGCAGTGATTTACTTGATAAAACATCTTAATTAGAAGCCTAAATTGTACCTTTTCTGTCAAATTTATGTTTTCATAGGTAATAAGTATTATTATACTCAATAAAACACCCTTGTGACATTACCTTCCGAATAGTCAAGCCAATACTGTATAATTAGACTCTCTCTAAGGCCTATAACATGAATTTATAAAAAAAAATTAGCTCTTTTGTGAACTTAAAAAATTAAACATTATCAAGGCTCTTTTACTATCAAGCACTTAGAATAGTCGAGCATGCTGTCCTACCGACAGCTCTTGTTATACTCCATAGTTTCACAGTCTCCATATTTCACCTTCAATGCTCTTTTAGAGATCCTTTTCATATTTCATAGTTTCACACTTAGTGCTGTTTTAGTGACCCTTTTTGAGACTCCATTATAAGTGTCACATACAATGCTCTTTTTTATGACCCTTTTCATACTCCATAGTTTTACCTTCATTTCTTTTTAGTGACCATTCTAATACTTCATAGTTTTTTTTTCTATTATTTTTCCTACTGTTTTAATGACCCTACTGATATACCATACTTAATTCTATGATGCTTTGAAAATAACTCTGCCAAAACAACAATGGTTTCTGCATTATTTTTCTTACTTTAAATAATGCTAATGATGCACCATAGTTTTGAAAATTCTTCTAACAAGGAGATACATATTTCTTTATTAGTCCTCCAATGATTCTGTTGGTATTCCATACTATTTACTTAAATACTATTTTAGTTACCCTCTTGCTGTTAGACAACAGTAATAATTATGTTTTGCTCTTTCTTAATTGTATTATTTCTTTGTACTCACACATCATCGTATTATTCCTAATACTGAGCCTAACACATAGTTAAAAAATTTACTAAAACCTTGATGTTATGTTGACATATCATGATATTAACATTGGCTATTTAATATATGGAGGGGCACCTGAGGTCTTCCATCACCAGTAAGGCTGGGAAGTTGCCGTATGACCTATACTGTGTTGGTGCAAAAACAACATCGACTACCATAGACATATTAATTAGTTCTTAAACTTTCATAAAGCATTCGGTTCAGTCAAACTAGACACTAAATGTTTTTTAAATTTAAATATAATATTTAAACTTTGAAATTGTTAAAATTAACATTGAGTGGGATAACCTATGCCTATATAATTAATAACCATATATGCTCTAATAAACGGCCTTATATTCTCTAAAAAACGGCCTTATATTCTCTTAATAAACAGCCTTAGATTATCAAATAAACATCCCTGTGGTTCATACAAATTAAATTGTTAGAATTAACAATGAGTGGAATAACATATGTCTATATAATTAAAAACCATACAGCCTTATATTCTCTAAAAACAGTCTTATATTCTGTAATAAGTCTCTGGGTAAAGACTAACAGAGCATCATAAAAATGATGATCTGATTTAAATGACATTGAAAAAGAGTTGAATATTGTCCAGATAAAAAAATGTTGACCCTTTGTTATTTTCTGTTGTTTTGGTTGGTAACGCAGTTTCATTAATCTGTCATATAAAAGAGTTGGGGATGTTTGTTAGAGAATTTATAATTGTTTGTATTTATTGGGAATGATTAAGATTTATGTTTGACAGCTTTGTTGATGATGTTAAAATTTCAGTAAGTTTGACGTTAAGATTACGACAAAGAGCAAACATTTGGACAGGTAGTTTATAAAACAAATGTCACTGAATATTGTTGTATGACACTATTTGGAAATACGGGTTCACTTTTGACACAATAATTTTAGTTTAATACACACTTGAACTTCTCGAATTAAGATGGAACACATAATTGACTTTCAATAAACACACCTTTAGAACACTGATTGATGTTCATTGTTGGAACACATTTTCATTTTTAATTGCAATAGAAGTTCATTTTTAGAACACATTCTCATTTTTAATTGTCACAATTTGGGTACACATATTGGTGAATTTTTTTACACAATGTGGTAATGCATTAATGATTTAGGGGAACACAGTAGTGAATATTATTCATGCAGTTTTGGAACACTGTGATTAATGATTTCATCTTTCACATATGTTTGAACACATTGTTGATTAATTATTGATGAAATATTTGAACACATATTTGATTAATTATTGACGAAATATATTTGAACACCTTATTGATGAATTATTTAAACAATGTGGAAACTTATTAATGACATAATGTGGAACATATTGTTTGCCCAATGTCAGAACACATTATTGATTAATTATTGACACATTATTGATCCTAGGGGGAACACATTGGTAAACACAATGTGGGAACACATTATTGGTCAACACAATGTCAGAACACATTGGTCAGTACAATGTGGCAACACATTATTGGTCAACACAATGTCAGAACACTCTGGTCAGTACAATGTGGGAACACATTATTGGTTAGCACAATTTAGGTACACATATTGGTAAATTTGTTATGTTATTGACACAATATGGGAACACCTTAATAACACATTGTGTTGGAACGTAATTACTCACACAAAATGGTTGAACACATTATTGGTCAACACATGATTGGTTAACACAATGTGGAAACACAATTTGGGAACACATGATTGATTAATTATTGACACTGGTGTTTTTTTTAGCACAGGTTTTATATAAATTAAAAATTAACTTTTCAGGAATATTGAAACTTCTTTGTTGTTGATGTTTTAGGAAGTATTTGATAAAGATAAGGCTACTTTTAAATTTTTAAGTTTCAATATTTTAATATAAAATTGAACTATAATGTGGACACCTTTAAACACATAGTTTTTACATTGTTTTATTCTTACATCTTATAGTATGCATTATCTTGTTACTTTAGGTTAGATATGCAAATATTTGGGTAAACAAAACTTTATTTAAAAAGTTTGTAATTTATATTTTTTTATGTAGGCTACTGCTAGATTTATTTACATTTTGTATAATGGTAGTTACACCCATCTTGTATGCACATGAAAAACTAATGGTAATTTGTCATTTTCTTTGTGAAACAGACTTAAAATTTTGTGTAAGAAAGCAGTCCAGCTAGCTTATTGAACATCAGTGGTTCTACTCAGGTGCCCGTTGATATGCACGGAATCCTGGCGCACATGAGGCGGTCCTCCAGCAGTCATGTGACGCCATATGACCATTTAAGTGCCGGTACAATGTAAAACCCAACCAAAAAAAAAAGTTAAAAAGATAAAAAAACAGGTAAATTTATAGTAATCAAGCCAACTATGTGCTGATTGCCCATTAATAATGGTTTTTTGGTGGCTTAAAAGTTTAAATCAGACCAAACAAGCAAAAAATATACATTTTAATGTAATAATACAATATTTTAGAAATTGCTTCAAAAGATATTGCTAGATAAAATTGAAAGGGCTTTCTGACAAAGAGTTGTTACCCTTCTTAATATCATATTGAGTTACATGACATCGAAATATAGAAAAATTATTGCTTGGTTAGTCAGTAGCTAATTTTTTGTTGGAATACTGTAGCTGAAAAAAGTGAACACTGAAGGAATGTAAAAAGTTGAAATTTTGATGCAAGTACAATGCTGTACGATCATTATAAGCTTTTTTTTATGCCCCCACTTCAAGGGCCAAAGGAGGGAGCATATATATTTGCTCACGTTGCCCTGTTGTCAGCACAAAATAGTAGTGGGGGCATCCATGTTCTTGTGATACAATTCTAGTTTAAGTCAATCATTTTCTTTTAGAAGACATGAAAGCTAGAGTATCTTTATGACTGACTATGATACATTGGCACTTATTGGCCATAGATAATTCTTTTCTGCAATGTTAAAATACTTAGGTGATTTGAATCAAATTGAATACTAATAAATTGATATGGTGCTTTCTTTTCTTTAATAATCTTTTTTAGCAAGATTATTGAAAAATATGTTGTCAATTTGAAAAAGGTTGTTTGTTTCATCAAGATTATTAAAAAATATGTTGTCAGTTTGAAAAAAATTGAATGGAATTATGCAAGTTGATCTTTATAGTATAAAAACAATTGTCAAATTTTTGTAACAATTCACTGAATTGTGATAAAGTTATATGCCCCTTAATAACACATTGAGTTAAAATTGCACATTTAAAGGAACTCCACTGAGGTCTTATAGCCTAAAATCAGAAAATTTGAATTCTTTAATAAATCAATTTTTTATGCAATTTTTTGGGCTAATTTGTGTAAAAAACATTGTAAGGCTTTTCAATAGGGGGTCCATTTGCGCAAAAAAATTGATTGTCCCTGGAAAGCAGAGTGAACACACAAATTAACAAAAGTTTTGAAAAAATATTTTCGGTCCCTTCATGTCAAAAAACCTCCATGGAGTCCCTTTAACATTTAGGCCTATGTCCTATGTGAAAATAGTTCAACCTCATTTGGCTCGAACAACCGATCACTCGAACAAATTTGCACAGGCCCTCCGAGTTTGAGCCAACAAAGTTTGAATGTATATCTAAAATATTTAACAAAGAAACAATGGTAAAACTATAGTCATCTTTAATGAGAATATATAACAAGAAGCAATAGTAAAAAATCGGTCATTATTTATGATGATATATTAAATGATTTACAGACAGAATCAAATGTCCGACGACAGTAAGAAATACGAGGAGCAGCAGAAACACAATGTGGTCGTCATGATGGAAATGCAGGACACTATTAATCAACTTCAACGAGAATTATCTGCCCTTGGCAAGCAGACGCGACGACCAGTTTCGGCAAGTGCTTCTACAGCTGGTATACAGGTAATGTTATTTAATTATATATTTTTCATTGACCTTTAATGACCCACTGACCTTTTGACCTTGAATCATTTGCTTCTTCTTTCAGAATCTTTAAATTATTTCTGTTCAGTCATATTCTTTATACATTCTTATATGGGTTTTAGGGTGACTGACTTTGTGTTTAAGATGATTTTCTTTAAGGTAAAAGTGATTGACCTTTTAGCCAAGCTTACTGACCTTGAGGTATTGTGGTAAAGGTGACTGACCTTGTAGTCAATCTAACTGACCTTGGGGTATTGTGATAAAGGTGACTGACCTTGTGGTAAAGGTGACTGACGTTGAGGTAAAGGTGACTGACCTTGAGGTAAAGGTGACTGACCTTGGGTTGATTTCCCTTTGTTTTTGTAGTTTTATGCAGGACCTTTGAACTTCAAGTGAGAAAGTATGCAAAAAGTTTATTAACAATGAAATTTAATATGCCTATGTGCTATGCTGTATTTACAAAATGTTTTTTGGAAGATCATATTTGAGCGTAATAGAAGTAATAGCCTACACCCAAAAAATTCTTGAACTAAGATTCTTTTCACCGTCAAAAATTGGTTGAAAATCATTATTCTTCACAGAAGACCATTAGCGCTGCATGCTAAACTCATGTTACTATATCAAAATTTCAGCCTGATATTAATAAAAAAACAACCAACCAATGAACTTACAACAGCTTGGTGTGAAAGGGCCTTAACTCCTTTTTTATTTAATATGAGTTACAATCCTTTCGCACCGAGCCTTCGTTAACTATGCCTGATGATTGTCACAAGTTTGTTTGTTTTTGTTTACGCCTTTTCCCAACAGTATTTCAGTCATATAGGCAGGTAAATTCCTAACCATCATTCCTAGAGAGTTACACCAGTACTAGACTACTTTCCTCCGTGCTAACTACCAAAGCATCTCTTGGGGATTGAACCCACGCCAGAGAGGTAACTGGATGAGAAGTCATCGACTCTAACCCCTCGACCAGGGAGGCCTGTCACAAGTTTTTTAAATAAGTAATATTAATACGTATAATCATATTTTTTCAGAATACAGACTCGGCTATTATGTTTACGCGTCTTGACTCGGAGAGGAACGCCAAGATCATGAAAAAAGCAGTGAACGAGAGGAAGCTTGATGCTAATAGATATAAAGTTGGTTTATTTATATATTTCCTTTATTCTTTTAAAATGTAACATCTTTTCATTGTTATGTGACATTATTGTATTTAAATGTGTTATCATTTCATTTTAATAATTCTATTTAAATGTGACATCATTGCAGATAAATGTGACATCATTGCATATAAATGTGACATCATTGCATATAAATGTGACATCATTGCATATAAATGTGTCATCATTGCATATAAATGTGACATCATTGTATATAAACTTGACATCATTGTATTTAAATGTGACATAATTCCATTTTAATGTAATACAATTCTATTTATATTTGATATAATTTCATTAAAGTGACATTGTATTTAAGATTAAATGAGATATAATTCCATTTAAATAACATCATTCCATTTAAATGTAATATAATTCTATTTAATAGTGATATCTTTCTATTTAAATGTGACACCATTTTACTTTTTGTGATATCATTTTATTTAAATGTGACACAATTTTACTTTTTGTGACATCATTCTATTTAAATATGACACCATTTTACTTTTTGTGACATTCTATTTATATGTGTAACCATTTTACTTTTTGTGACATCATTCTATTTAAATGAGACACCATTTTACTTTTTGTGACATTCTATTTAAATGTGACACTATTTTCCTTTTTGTGACATTCTATTTAAATGTGTCACCACTTTACTTTTTGTGACATCATTCTATTTAAATATGACATCATTTTACTTTTTGTGACATCATTCTATTTAAATGTGACATCACTCTATTTAAATGTGACATCATTCTATCAGTTATGAATGGAATCATTCTACTATATATAGCATTATGCTGTGAAATTATATAACATTCTCCTATTAAATGTGACATTTTTTTAACTGTGACATTCTATGAATTGTGACATGATTTGATATAAATGTGACACACTATGTTATAGGAAGCCATGGTACAGATGGATGAATATGTCAGCTTGCCAGCACAACGTTTAGCTCATCTCGTCAGGAAATACGTTCACCACTGCCGTATGAAAGACATTGAAGGTTACTACGATACTTAATATAAATATACTGCATGTATATAAGCTCTTTTTACATTTACATCCATGACCAAAATGGTTAGAAGGTCTGTCTTTATAGACTTCCATGGCATAGTGGTTAAGATTGTTGACGTCCACAGCATAGTGGTTAAGGTCATTGACTTTAAACTGCTTGCCCCTGACCGTGGATTTGAATCTCAACAGAGACTTTGGATTCTTTCATGTGAGGAAGTTATCCAGCTAGCTTATGGAACTTTGGTGGTTCTACTTAGGTGCCAGTTTGTGCTTAAAATAATGCAAAGAAAAGCACCTGAGGTCTATTCTGTCAGTAAAGGTTGAAAGTTGCCATATGACCTATACTGTATTGGTGCGATTAACAACCCACCAAAAAGAATAAAATACAGGTCTGTGTTTATATATATTTATCTTTGGTCTGGACCTTACTGTGGTTGCAGTCAGCGTTTTGTTTAATAAATATGAAACCTATCCAATACTGGTAATAGTACAAGAAACAAATTTGAAAGTTTTTAAGAATTGCTAACATATATTCTTCTTTTGAGCTTAAATATTTTTATCTTGACTATGTTATTTGAAGAATAGGTACATGTAAGAGTTATTTTCTTGCTTATCAGACAGAATTTTCTACTGTTTCACATATTAAGATTTTCATGACATAACTAAAAGATTTTGTTTTTGTATTCTCAGAAAATGTACAGAAAAGTCAAAGTTTGAATGAAAATGTGTTTGAGCTGTTTGATAAAATGGAAGCCTTGCAGAATCACGTACGTGACAAATTTTCTGTTTATATATTGTTTTATACAGAATTTATTTTAGTTCCAATGTGTAGGAAGATATATGCTTATAACACACACTTTCGTATCCATTCCTGAAACCAACCGGTACTGAGCAATGAAATGACTTGCCCCTGAATGGGTTTGAACCAATGTTGGTAGTGATCATTAGATTACTTAAGTGCCATGTGTTAACCACTTGGCCATGTGGCCACATCGTGTTTTTATAACTGCCCCATGAAAGGGGGGGGGCTATATAGGAATCACTTTGTTCTGTCCCATGCCGTCCCATCCTTTTTTTGGAACCGGTAGTGATAATATCTAGAAACTTGTCACATCCAACAAATATCACAATGCAATTGTCTGTGTCAAGTTTCATAACTTTGATTATTAGTTGAACAGAATTATAAAAATTCATACTAGAAAATATCCTAGAAATTGTACCAAGTTGGCTTATTGCTTTATTGTTAATGAATCAATTGTTTTTATACTTGGACACAACAATCCTTGAGGATCGACCTTCAAGTCGATGGCATTTACATTGATCTTGAGTCATTAATGACCTTGAATTTCAAGGTTCAAGTTATTAATTTTTGTTTACTAAGTTTCCCTTCCCATCTCAGGAACCAGTAGAGAGGTTAACATGACCTTGAAATATCATTGCCATATCACAATGCAACTGTGTGTTTTGAGTTTGATAACACTGATAGGTAGTTAATAGACATAAATTAGTCCTTTTTTTATTCCAAATGGCTTTAGGAGACTTCTTTCCTTTGATATATCTGCATTTTTTTTCTGGCTGGAGGCCGTCTGTTTGCAGTTTGTTCTGTAAAATTTACAGGGAAGAACTGAATATCAGAAGAGTTTTCATTGGTCATTTTTAAATTACAAAATGAAGTCTGGGAATCTCATTAATTTGGTCATTCTAAAATAAAATGTAAAGGATAGTTCTTAACTAAAATGTAAAGGATAGCTCTTGCCATTATGAAATAAAATGAATAAAA